TTCCTCTACCTACTTTCTGTTTAGTCAAATCTTTCCAAACAAATGGAAAGACAAATAACTGGGTATTTTTCTTGGTGCAAGGAATGGATTGGAGTAAGCAGCAGGTGAAAAGTGTGAGTGTGTGTGTCTGTTTTACTGGTAATTGAACCCAAGGCCTCAAGGCTGCTAGGCTTCAAAAAAGGGTCAAAATGGACTACTAAAGCACAGTACATGACTGACCAGGTTTTAAATCAAGGCAGATGGACTGCTATAGGGTCCATCCATGCTTTTGGTAATCACTGCTAATGATAGTGGCCTTGTTCCTTTACTCATGTCAAAATTTCCCCTCTAAACTCCACTTTATGCTCCTTGATGACATAGACTGTATTATTATTATCCCCTTCATGTCATTATGTTTCTTTTACAGATCCTATTAGAAAAAAGTAAGTTATTGATGGAAATGGAATTACCAGCAAATATTTACAAGTCCACATTTTCCTAAGGAAGGGGATACACTTTTATGTATTTGATGAAGACCCTGATCATTTCTACAGCAGTTTGGCAGCATGGAAGAGCAGAAACAGAACTGAGAAAACAACAATATCTAGATTGCTTGAGGGCCTCCCTAAGAGAAGAGCCAGTGAGACATTTGAAATGTCTCTACTACAACTTCATAAAATTCCTACTATAGTTTGAATTGTCCTTCATCCGAAAGGGGCTACACCATTCCTTAGATTCATTACAGCTTCCAGGTTTCTGAATGTTCAGTGGGACTGAAGAATGGTGGGGGTTTATATTGTCTTTCTATTATCTTAAGAAACAGCTCTTAGGAGCTGAGACAGACAGGGGTTTTCATCCTGAAAGAAGTCATGCCAGGTAGTAGGCCTTTTGTCTCCTGAGTACTGTCACAAAATCTTTCACTGTCAGAGCTAGTTAGACAAGAAGATTTTACAGTTCAGAGTTGTGACACAGCTACGAGAAGAACATTGTGCTGAGGTCTTTGAAGAGTACATGCATCTCAGGTAAGGGTCAAGGTGACGGTGTAGTGGGTAGATTTGGGGATTTAGACTACCTCAGTTCAAATCCAGACTGGCCCACTGACTATTATATTGTGAACAAAACCTGTGGGAATAAAACAGAAGCCAAGAAGATTCACACTCCTTGACAATGACCTCTAGGCCATGGACACTTGAATTATTCACAAATGTAGTTTGTAGCATTTGAAAAGAACATACTGAGACTAATCTTCAGAACGGTCTGGTCTTCAACAAGGAACAATTCTTTCTAAATCTCAGCTCTGAACTTTTTTGAAATACAAATACAGTCATTTTTATCTCCAGAATGCCCCCTGGCAATTATTTTATGTGGAGGCTGACAGCGTCTTTGTCTTGGGAATGTTTTCTCAGATTTGAGCCTTTGTAGAAGTTTTGATGATGGCAGCATTTTAATATGTGTTTGATCTCTTTGTTCTTGTTGGTGTCCCTTCCTGGTCTTTCTCAGACATGTTGTCCTTGTGGAACCACTCACTACTTTCCTGATCTCAGAAAGAAATTGGGTTTATGTATTTAAAGTGTCATAGATGTCATAGATTTAAAGTGTCATAGATTTAAACTAACAGTTTAAATCACATTTGGAACATAACTGGGAACAAAATATTAAGGCAGGATATCTCCAGATGAAAGTGCAAAAATGATAGAATGATTATGAATAATCTAGCATTTATGATAACCTAATGTATATTTGACCATTTGTATGTCTTTCTCATTTAGATTCAGCCGGTTATTAAAAGCAGACCACCACACCAGCATCTCTGAATCCTTCATGGAACATTGATAACGAGCTCCAGCCTTCCTGGAATTGCTCTTATCTGGTCTTCTTGAGCCCTGAATTAGAATGTACACCGGATAATTTCCAGTGAGTTATGCTTAGAAACAAATCCCTACCTAGAGAAGTTAACCCGTGATACCATTTGAAAGATGAGAAATTCATTTTCAGTGGTTTTTCCTTTGTGTAGCCTAGCCCCTTGTACTTAAATAGAGATGTTGCAAGTCAAATTAAATTTACTTGCTATTCTTTATCACATAAGCAGGCCCAGGTATCTATGCAATTATGTTGCCCACTATCAACATCCTATTGGATTCATTTCCAAATGGTATAAACACACACCCAGGAAACCCTAGAGCAGCAGGTAGGATTCAGAATAGGTGACCCCTGATTTCAGATGTATGAGATGGTGTAGGCCCTGTTCAAGTTGTTTATTCTAATGCCAAGGTATTTTCTTCAGGTGTAGAAAAGAAGTAGGAGATATGAAAGCCAAATTTACTACCAGCAGGTGGTGACAGAAAAAATTATAATTGATTCTCGTCCTTGCTAGAAAATGTCACTGAGATCAGTGGGGCATACTGCCTTAAATGGCAAGAAATTTTCTCCCATTCTTTTACTATAAGGAGGAATAATCAACTGCTAGTTACTTAGTGAGAAAACTACAAATGCCTTAACAGGCATAAGAGGCAAAAAATAAACCTTTTGGATTCCATGCCTGTCCTCACCACTTCTAGAGATAAACTAGGTGTGAGCATAGATCATTCAAAGTTCTTGGTCTAGTTGGGTTTGAAAGAATATGGTATTAGGAGACAGAAGACATAAATAACAATTAGGTTGTGTGAGAAACCAGAGAGAAGTGCATTGAAGTCCTGCTAAGAAATACACAGTGTGTGTGTGTTGCACACCACATGCACACACACACACACACACACACACACGTGTAAAGAGAGAGAGAGAGAGAGAGAGAGAGAGAGAGAGAGAGAGAGAGAGAGAGAGAAAAACAGAGCATAACTGTATTTTATTTCAAATGCAACAGCTGAATAGAATTCCAGATCTAGCAAGAACCTTGCAATCCTATCTCAATCTTCATACACACAGACATACAGAGTTGTCAACAATATTAATGACCATCAATCCCAATTCTTTCACTTTTTGGATGAAGAAACAGACCTCCAACATATGTAAATAAATTACCCAATTTCACTCCATGATAAATGACAGGACCAGGATTAGAATCCTTGGTCTTTAAATTCTGCCTATTTTCCTACTATTTCCCGTACCTTTTAGTTACCTAAGTGCCTATGATTTAAAGTATCCTAGAAGAAAATCTTGTATATTATTTTTTTAACTCTCCAATAACAGAAATTCTACAAAACTACCTGTGTCAGTTTGGTTTCACTGTAAAAATGTTCTTGAGAAAAATAAACTTATAAAGAGGAAAGGATTTTTGGGGGGTTGTGGTTTCAGGGGTTTTAGTCCATGGTTCTTACCCCTGTTGCTCTGGGCCTCTGGTAGTCTAGTAGAACATGGCAAGAATGCATGATGGAAAAGATCTGTTCACTTCATGGCAACCAGGAAGGAGAGAGAAAGACGAAGGGGATGGAGTCGTACAGTCCCCTTCAAGTGCAACCTCCTCAATCACCTGACTTTTCATTAGCCAAACTACTAAAGGTTCTATCACCTCCTAGGAGCACCATAGGCTGGAGACCAATCCTTTAACATAAGGCTCTGGGGGGACATTTCAGATCCAAATTATAGTGCCACCTGTGCAAATATATTTCATTGCCATTTATAGTTAGAAAGTACTACTGAATAGGTCACTTGAAGATCTTTTGCTGTCACATATACATTCCTCTTTGGTTCTCTCCTTAGTATAAATGGATCACAGATATTCATTATTACAGATAATATTTGGGAAATGTGGATGAAATGTGTGCAGCTGGATTTATCACATACGTATGTGTTTATGTAGCAAACAATTTCTATTAATATAGGTTAAATGATTCCTAGTGGCAAACCATACCTGAGAAATAGCATATAGGAAGGAGGAGATGTCTTAGATTTTATCACTGTGTGCCTTCTGCATGGGAGCAACAGACTGAGCTATGAATAGGGGGTAATTTAGCATCTTAAGAGGGACTAAATGTCCAAACTCAGAGATATGCAACTAAACTAGTCCTCAGTTAATCAAAACTCACTTGCCAACACTCTTTCTAGAAATGAGATACTAATTATGAGACTATAAGTCAAAATTGGATATTTTGCGCAGGTGCGCTCACACACACACACATGCACGCACGAAAAAGAAGAAAAAAAAAGAAGTGCTTGAACTAATCCTGTATTTTCTGCCATCACCATTTCCACTCTAGGGTAATAAACAGTAATAAGATGTTGCTCAAAATGGTAATAAAATGGACAAAAAAATCACCAATGCATAATGCAAGGTATGATGATATACACTTGCCACCCCAATACTCCGGAGGCTAAGGGAGGAAAATTTCAAATTTGAGGCCATCCTGGGATACATAATAAGACCTGCCTAAAAAAAAGTATCAGCAAACCAGCTCTATCTAAGAACATCTGACAGTGGAGTGAAGTTATTCATCTATACTTGATCAAAAATGAGCTCCTCTTATAAACTGGGCATCATGGTGCACTCCTGTAATCCCAGGACCTGGGAGGTGGAAGCAGGAGTATTAGGAGCTCAAAGTTACCCTCAGCTACATAGTTTGAAGCAAAAAACCAAAAGAACAAACAAACAAAACACTCTCCTTTCAGAGAAGGTTATCTTAGCAATGGAATCCCAACTTTGAGGAGGTCGATGTTTGCATTGTTTTCCCCTAGAGAATCAGATCAACTGGATTCATCCTAAATAGTAGTGACATGCCAAACTGGTGGCCAACTGTGTGCATATTCCCTGAGGTTTCCTTACTGAGGCAAGACACTGGACTTAAATATTTTTCAAATGTTTTCAACAGGTAACTTGTCACCTAGAGCAACCTGGTCTAGACTCTTAATGTTCTATAGACTACGACTGCAAACCTTATTGCCTTGGAAAGAATTAAGCCAGTCTAGCCACTGAGAAAGGGAATGTATATGCATTGAGGCAGACTATTTCATTGAACTTGCAATGGGCTCCATGTCACTGTGATTCCTCCTGAATTCCAAGGAAGCCCCATTGGAAAGCAGTTACTCACGGCAATAAGCTGGTAGGAATTGTTCATCATGGCAATGAGCATGTTCAGCAGCACCACCAAGGAGATGACGTTGTATGTCCCAAACATAGTAGCTCCCACAAACTCGGTGAACTCGTGTCTGGCCTTCACATTGGTGACATAGAGATTTAAAAGGCCAAATACAGACCAGAAGAGTGACTGGAGAGTTTCAAATAGCCTAAAAGAGATTAAAGAGCAGGTTAGCTCTCTAAGAGCAAAAACAGAGGGCAAACATGTCATCTATAAGACAGTAGCCAGACTTGGAACAGATAGACCAACACGCTCATGTATTTTGGTCTCTTGCTGAACACAATGGCCCAGCCAGATTAAGTTTATTTGAATACTTGGCTTTTCTACATTGATCCCCATCTCTCTCCTCTCAGCTCACACATAATCTAAACACTTTCAGGACTTATTTCAAGGGCTAATTCTTCCATCAAACCATCTCATTCGTCTTTAGATTGTGTTATCTACTACCTTTCTTATTATCTGTGAGCAAAAATGTAGAATTTAAGAGTATGGAACTTGGCAACAGCAAGTGAACTTTTATTTATTTTATTTTTTTTTTGAGACAGGATCTCCATGTAGTCCCAGTTGGCCTTTTGCAGTAGATGGTGATTAACACAGAAACCCACAACTGACCAATGTGCAAAGAATAAGAGGCTGCAGAGTGCTTATTCCTGAATAGGACACTGATGTCAAGCTTCTGTATTCCAATGCTTTGGTTTCATTGTGAAAGAGGAGACAGAAAGATTTTAAGAGCCAGAGGTAGTGGATGACACAAGGAAACAGTTTTCCAGACAACTAGTCAGTTATTCATAAGAACTCATAGCAATGGTGACAGCATGCATATGTCCCATGCAAATTTAAACCAGACAAAGTCCCAGTACAGACATGTGGATGTAGGTAAGAAATCCCAACACAACCAGAGGAACTTTGGGCAACTGATGGCTGCTGGGAAGGGGGGAGACAGTCTCCTTCAAGGATGTGACCCTTGTTAGATTAAACCAAGCTCCAGTGGATGCACCCACAGTGAAGGACATTTGAGGACACAAATTAGACTGTATGGACTGTCTCTCTCTCTCTCTCTCTCTCTCTCTCTGTCTATATATATATATATACACACATATATACATATATACACATATATATGTCATGGGGCAGCAAGGTGAGGTGCTGATGAGGGGGAGATAAATATCATCAAATTATATTGTATTATATTGCAAAAATTCAATAAAAAAGAAAACAAATATGGAGCTTGGGCTGTACTGTACTGGGTTAAAAACTCAACCAATGCCTGCTAAGTGAGCACCAGGGCAAGTTGCTTTCCTCCTCTACCATTTTTTTGGTGCTAGAGATGGAGCACAGTACCTCAACACATGTTAAACATGATCTTTACCACTGAGCTATGACTTAGCTCACAAGTTATCATTTTGTGCTTTCATAGGGCTCAGGTAGTGCTAAACTCAGTGAATGAGTTTGGTGAGCCTCGAATTAACAAATTATATGTTTTAATGGTTTTACACTTTTACATAAATTATTATGATTCATAAAATTTTATTGTAGAAAAGAAGTAGCTTTTACATTAGAAGTTTGAGGTACTAGTCTATAAAGTGATGTGGTACTACAAAGAAGTGGGGACAGGACTGGAGGTATGGCTTAGTAGTTAAGAGCATTGGCTACTCTTGCTGAGGACCAGGTTTGGTTCCCAGTACCCACATGGCGGCTAACAAACTATCCTTAACTGTAGTTCCAGGGGATCCAACGTCCTCTTCTGATCTCCAAGGGCATTGAGTGACATCAGTGCATGTTCATACATGCAGGCAATACAGTCATACATATAAAATAAAATAAACATAATATTTAAAAAATGAAAACAGGGACAATAGTTGGTAGAGCAACTACTGTCAAATGCAAGAGATGATTTTTATATGACAAATATAAGATTTAAAAATCTATGGAGGAAATGTTGACCATTTAATAAATAACACATCAATAAGTTAAATATTTCTTATTCATGATGATGTTACAATCAGAGACTGATTTGCTCAAGGACACCCACTAATAAGTGCTGAGTCAGACTGCAAAGTCAGGTCTATATGACCTTGCCAAGCCTAATGTAATGAGCAGTCTCTTTTAGATGGCTTCACAAAGTGTTGATTCCTATTTTAGCCTCCATACCCAAACATGTAACTTTGCATTGGTATGCTTTTGTCATTCAGAAATCTTCCCACAGCTATACAGTGAAGTCAGCTCATGGGTGACACATAAGTCCAAATCACAGAATTGTGAAACATAAGAAATGCTCCTCTAAGAATGGATATACTTCTTCAGTTTACTTAGAATGTGTTGTTCTTCACTTGGGAGGTAGAAGCAGGAGAATGAGGATGTTAATGTCATTTTCAGCTACATAGTGAGTTGGAAGACAGCTTGGACTACAGAAGACTTTGTCTCAAATAGAAAACAAAGATTATTTTCACACTTTTTTTGCAGGACAGGGAATGGAACTCAGGCCCTTGTGCATGCTAGGCAAGTGCTCTAACACTGAGCTAAAGCTTAAGAATTCACTTTCTTAAAAAAGAGATATCATATTTTTCTTGTTTTTTCATCTTTAATATGCATATAATTGCACAAATTTGTGGGGTGAAATGCGAAATTTTGATCCACATGTATCAAATCAAAGTAATTACCATTTTACTAACTCTAGCATTCATCTTTTTTGTGATAAAACCTTCAAAATTGCCTCTTCTATCCAGTTTGAAATATACATTGCTGTTATCTATAATCAACTATCGAGGCGGAGAACACCAGGGTGTTTTGCTCCTATATAAGTGCAACTTTGTTCCCACTGACCAACATTTCCCACCCCTCCCTACCTCCTCCTACTCTCCCAAGCCTTTGATAGCTACCATTCTGTGCTAGATCTAGGCTTCTCAAAGCTTACTTTTACCTCATTTTAGAAACTTACTTTTTAGATTAATCCAAGTAAGCAACAACTGATGACTCATTTGAGAGTCAACAATAACATGGGAGTCTAGAGTTCAGGGTCACAAGAAGCAGAAAATATGGCAAATGCTGTGCCACCATGACCAGTTTTGTCAGGGCTGGAAGCCATTATTCATGAATGCTAGGCAAGCACTGTACCAACTGAGCCGTATTCTCAACACCTCTTCTGAATTTCTAGGAAACTCTGGTAGTCAGAGCTAGACAAGGCAAGGTGTTACACAGCCCAACAAAGGGTAAAAAATAGGGAATCTATGAGGTGCAGAAAACTGGTCCTGCTGTAGGGCATAGCCAGGACCTTGATAAGTTTTTTTTTTTTTTTTTTTAAAAAAAACACATTAGAAGTCAGTCAGTGCAGGTAGGATGCCAGTAATTTAACAAGCTAGTGCAGCAGTTGGATGCTGTATATTGGGACAACTGGGGCACATAAAAAGGAAAAAGAACTGCAAAAAATAGAAATCACATTTTGGGGGCTGGATAGATGGCTCAGTGGTTAAGAGCACTTGCTGCTCTTATAGAGGATCCAAGTTCAATTTCCAGCACCCATATCACATTAGGTGATGTTTACAACCAGGTGTAACTCCAGGTCCAGAAGATGGGATGCCTCTGGCCTCCTTAGGCACTTGCATTCACTTACACTTACACTTACACACACACACACACACACACACACACACACACACACGCACAATTAGAAAATAAAATATAAAAAAGAAGTGACATTCTGAAACACCAGAGTTTATGGAAGCTGAATAGACTTAGACACAGAAAGCATTCAGCGAGTGCTGATTTTACAGGACTACCACAAACAGGGGAAGTATGCCATCAGTTTGCTGATAGGGTCTAACAATTGGTTGCTTCTCCTGAATGGACAATGTTCAATTCCTACACCCACCTCCATATCTGCAACAAATAAAATTGCACCGATTAATGTTGAATATAGAGTTCACTGCTACTTGCTGCATTGATTCATACAAAGATGCCCTAAAAGTGAATGTTTGAGCATTTAAGATCCACCTTCAACTGTGATGTTCAATTTAGGGAGAACTGAGAGGTACAGCTGTACAAGAGGAGGAAAAGAAAGATGGGTAGTGAGAACTCCCTCAACATGGCAGACAAAATATCATAGTGTGATCTGGTCACCAGTAAAACCTGGCTTACTGAATGGCATGCTCAGGTAAAATAAGAGACCATGGCATGGCATGGCCGTGCACACCTTTAATCCCAGAACTCAGGTGGATCTCTGTGAGTTTGAGGCCAGCCTGGTCAACATAGTGAGTTTGAGGCCAGCCTGGGCTACATAGTGAAACCCTGTCTCAACAAATAAAAATAGAAAGAAAAACAAGGAACTGACATGTGAGGTGGGTGGGAGTATCTTAGAAAAACATTGATAGGAAGCCCCACGGCTTCTAGACGCAGCTGAATTCACAGGTAAAGGGCTACCACCTGGTTAGGAGCATTACTTGCCATAATAAAATCATCACAGGAGTGGATAAACTTACTAATTAGGCCTGAGAATACTAACGCTACTGAGTATAATCGTTTTTTTTTTTTTATTTTATGGGAGATTCTTTTAGAGAAGTCAGTCAACCCATTTTTATTTATCAGCAAGTAAACAAACATACAGAACTTGCTCGCTCAAGAAGAGGCATATGCTGAAATTTTCAAAGCTACAAAGATTCAAGAAAACTTGACACTACAAGGAGTGAAGGCAAATCCACACCAGGTGGCTGAGGCAAAACTTGAGCTTGTGGGGAGTCAACCACAATAGATCACATAGCTAAGAGGGGAATAGGTGAGCAGAGATGAGATCTGAAATCCTCTGGGCATTTGCTGCAAATCTCATCTTTACCATGAGCAAATAATCTTTCAAAGGGAAGGAACATGGAGAGGATTTAACCCTCTGAAGGACTAGAAGGTGAACTGGAACAGAATAAGCAATCACACCCTTCTGTGTTTCATGAATTGTCTTTTGATTGCCCCTATATGGAGGAAAAGAAGGGTGAGGGAGTAGAGGGGAGTGGTTAAGACCAACCTTCAGAACTCTCTGTCTGACTGCAAAAGCTGCAGAACCTATCTAAACTTTAACTTTAGTCATCATATATATGCAAGTGTGTGCGTGCGTGTGTGTGTATGTGTGTGTGTGTGTATGTGTGTGTGTGTGTATGTGTGTGT